TGCCTGTAGGTTGTGAGAAACTTAAGATGATTCATCTGTGAGCAAATGTTTGCTGTGAAAAGTCAGAGTACATGTTCCTTTTGGAATTAGTTCTTTAACCTAACTTTCACCTTGAGATTTCTCCTCTCCTTTGGGAATTGGACGGGGTTGGTTGGCACCAGTATTTTATAAAAATGGTCAAGTTTGGGGTTTCTTTTCAGGACCTTCACAAACGCCCCTACGCCTCTGTGCCATAGCCCTGCAGCAAGGTCAGCATTTCTAGCTCTCCTCTGCCTGCGGAATCTTGAGCATTTTTCTTGCATGGGTCCTTCCTTCTATAGAAAGGTCATCCCTGATGTGGTGGCACGGATCCAGCATAAACTTTTAGGAAACCACTGGAACAGAAAACGAGTACCTCTGTGTTAGAGATGTGGAAAGCCTTGAAAAGAACTCGAAGAGAAACAATAGAGCACCAAACCACAGTCAGTCTTATGAAGTAATGAACAAAACAGATCTTAAAGAAAGGATACCACTTTCAGAAAAGTTTCCACTGATCAAAATAATGGGCAAAAAAAAAAAAAAAAAAAACCAGAGGAAACCACAAATAAAAGAAATAAAGATCCACAAAAAAGCATGTCAGAAGCCTTACCAGCAAAATGGACAGTAGGGATTGTGCTTAGTAGAACCCTCCCTGACGGGTGATGATATGTCACATAGGCCGGCTGGATCGTGGGCTCCCGATGCCAGTGGAATTCCTAGCCAGCTGTCTGATCAGCATATATTCTCAAAGTAGAGACTAGCACTAGAAGAAATCGTTCAATAATAGACGTAGACAATACTTCTGCTTATAGAGATATTATTTATTTGTAATGCATTGCTGAACAGTTTCTTTGAAAGGCCCAGAGAGGCTGTTCTCCCTTACTCAAAGTCGGGCCTTTTCTTGGACTTCAGGAAAATGCAAGAGATCGAAGGAGTAGGCAGAGTGAAGGAAGTAAATTGAATTCTGGGTTAGAAAGTTAACGCTTAATATTTAACTTTTCAAGTACTAGCCATGAATCTGTCCATTGGAAAGATCCTGCCTTAGTTGAAAAGAGCATGTCATTATTAGTGGAATTCTTCTAATTAGACATCTTCATTGCTGCAATACCTGCTACTAAGGCCATGTGTCTTATGTCAGCGCTGAAGTAGCTCAGTTCACCGGGAAGCCTGCCCTTTAGCGGCTTTTGATAATTACACAGTTCGTTCTGTGGAGACAGGTCTGAACTAAGCCGAGCACCACAGCTGAGACTGTAGGAAGCCTCAAACTCTCGACCTTGGGCTATATCTCAGGCTCCTGCATCTCCCGGAACCCACACCACTTCCAAGAGGAGCACTTAAGGAACACCATGGGACTACGTAGTCACATCTAGCACTCTTCTCGGTTTAAACTCTAACTTTTGTATAGTATAAAATTAATGGCACTTTTCTTGTCCCATCTTTTCAGTATTCCTCTCTGCAAAACTCTTGATACTTTTAGAAGTCACTTTTCTGAGCTCATCTTAGAGCTGCCTCTTCGTATTCCTTATGTACTATGGTCAGCAAGCAACAGGTAACGGGACTGCACCAGACATAACGTGTAGCTTTGCACATTCAGCTCTCCAGAGAGACAGGGAATGTGCAATTTCAGTAGCACCGGACTCCATTCAACGTTCCTCTTGGGATGGGATGGGAGATGCATCGTTCCTCCCGTCTGTCTCATTTCCCACGAGCCTCCCCCTGTGCTGTGTGTTCTTCTCATGCAGAGAGCCATGTTAGATGGCAGGCCAGCCACTGTATTTGGTGCACAGGTGAAGAAATGGTGGTTTGTTCTGATGCTAAAAAGTGTATATTGGATTTATTGAGAGGTAGTTTGTCAATCTCAAATGAGACCTCTCTTCTTCAGGGAGTTGAAGAGTAATTTTGACCATGAGATTGCTGCCTGGTAGATTGCCACTTAACTACCTTTTGATTTTAATAGCAAATTGCTGTTAACTTCTACGTTCTGAATATGTCGTGGTCCTTCTTCTACAGTTTAGCACTCATATTCCACATTGAATCAGAGTCACCAAGTCACCTGACTTCATAGGCTTATAGCAAATGCAAAGATGGTTAGTATTTCCAAGTAAAAATACCAAATACTAATAAAAGTTAATGTTTATTTAGCCATTAATATAATCCCAGACACTGCACTAAGATTCACCATCTTATTTAATCCTCAACAACCCTATGAGGTGTCTTGACATTAAAGCACAGTGACTGACTTAGACAAGCAAGGGAACACATACATACCTTCCTGTGTAACTATTTCCTAAAACACAGGTGCTCCCAGGAAGCCAGCAAAGAATGATTGCAGAAGCAGACCAGCAAGAGCAAATTAACATACAGGCCCTAAACAAGCTGTGGTTCAAAAGTTCTCATTTAGGAGTGGGTTGTCCAGAAGCTGGAATGTATTTTCCCAGGGAAATGGTGTTATCACAACACAAGCATATTTACCCCTGGTGTGCCTGAAGTAGTAAAAACACAGACCCAAACCATTTTGTGTACCAGTCTTTTCATGGAAAAATTCACTCTGAATTTCCTCCTGAACGGCTGCTGGACACATTTCTCCACCACTGGGGAAATGGGGAGCCTATGCTAGAAACAGAATCATTAGAAATGTTCAGTCAGAATCAGAGGTGAGTTCCAAGGCCTGTGATAGGAATGGATGGAGAGAGGAGGATGGAAGAGTGACTGGCGCTGGGGACAAAGGGGATGGACGTAGAGGGGCAGGTGATGTTGGGAGAGGAACAGAAGGAAGCCCATGAGGGTGAAGGGTGGGATAAGAATTCCAGAGAGGAGAGGAGAAAGAGTTTGAGGATCCTGAACTCACTAGTTGTAAACACCTAGGGACTCTGCTCATCTCTCAGGTAGCTCCCTGTTCAGTGCTTTTGTTTCTTCTACAGACTCCAGTGTTTTGCCTGCCTGCTTCCCTTTTACTGTTTAACACGCAGAGCTTCCTCTGTGATACTGAGACCAGCCCCATGGCTTTTCTAGACTCCACTGCCCCTAATGCGGGCAAGTGGCCCTAAGGTTTTTGTTTTTGTTTGTTATTTTGAGTGGTTTTTAACTTCTGTAGAGGAAAGAGCCCATCCCAGGCTCCAGAACATTTCCTTTTTCACTTGGACCTGGAAGAGCCAATATTAGCTACAGATGCTTTGGATAGGTCTTTGGGTCCATAAAGGGCTGAAATAAAATGCATAAGCATTCAGATGTAGCTCTCTGAGGCTGAGGCTTATGGGAAAAGGGAGAAGCCCTCTGTTCCTTTCTCCTTTTTGTCTCCGGTTCCTTTGTCCTCCAAATGAGAGTGGAAAGAAGTGTGGGAAGGGCCCAGACCGCAGCTTGCTGGAGGGGAAGGGTACAAGACAGTGTGTGATCCTCGCATCACTGCTGGGGTGTGTTCTCAAGGGGCATGTCTCTGTTGGGGGTGTAAGGACCACCTGAGCACCTAAGCATCTGCCAGGGTCTCTAAGTGCTCTTCGTACCACCTTCCCCTTACCCACGAGTCACGTTTTCCTCATTTCTCTGGTGATAGAGATCACTTAGACACCCGGGGAGCTGTAAAAAGCCTCAGTTCTCAGGCTTTATCCCAGACCCACTTAGTCAGAATCTCCAAGGGAAGGGCCTGGAAAGCTGTATGATTAATAAGTGATCCCAGGTGGTTCCTGTCAAGGATGTTTGGCAGACACTGCTTGCCTACCCCTCTACCTGGCTGGTCTTTAAAGGCTCCTAGGACATTCTAAACCCCTTTCTGTGTCAGATTCATTATATGTATATGCTGTTTCTTCTCCATGGAAAGCTCTTACCTGTTCCCTACTCTTGGCCAATCCCTACTTCTCATAACTTCATGACTCGGCTGAAATACAATTTTTTTGGAAAGACCATCCTTGACCACTCTCATCGCCATCTCAGTCAGGTTCCCTTGTTTCACCTTGTGCTTTTTCTCCTGAGCATTTATCACATAGTTTGTACCTCATGTATTTGCCTAATCTCTACCTCCTCACTAGTACCAAGCAGAGGTAGTACTTAAGAAGTATTTTTTGTGTGGATGAATAAATGGAAAAACAATGCTAGGAGAAGGGTTTCACAGGTTGGATTGGATGCTGCTCAACAAATAAAGAATTGAGCATATGAAAATTTTAATCTTCCAAGGTAAAATTTTCACACATCAACTAAAGTCAAGGTAGATATGGGTCCAACAAGTAATTTGTATTTATGGGACAATGGATCAGATTTTTTTTTTTAAAAAAAGATTTTATTTATTTACTTGAGAGAGAGCTAGCGAGAGAGAGAGCACAAGTGAGAAGGAGAGGAAGAAGCAGGCTCCCTGCTGAGCAGGGAGCCCGGCGTAGATCTCTATCCCAGGACCCCGGGAACATGACCTGAGCCGAAGGCAGACGCTTAACCGACTGAGCCACCCAGGCGCTCCTAAAATGTAAAGTCTTACGTCACTCTTTAGGTCAACAACGAGTTACTATGTCAGAAAAGTTACTAACAGAACTTTTCTGTTCCAGCCTCCTCTCTCCACCCACTCTGCTCACTGTACCATTACCACACCGGCTTCTTTCCACTCGTCTTCTAGAGGAGTTCACAGTTCTCCGAGTGCGCTGGAGTTGAGTCGAGCTTCAAGCCACTTTTGTTTTGTGCGTTATTTCTCATGCTTGACACCCAGTAGGAGACATTCATTAAATATTTGTTGAATTTAACAATGAAGGAAACAAAGGCTGAGAGAGACCAAATGCTGTTCTGATTGCTGCAGGTGGAGAATACACAGTACCCAGATATCCTGATTCCTAGCCCAGTGTACTTCCAACAAGACCATCTCAACTCCATGCTTCCAGAGATTTCCCTTCTCTGAATGTGGCCCTGCACTGGCATTATTAGAGAAATTTGTCCTAAAAAATTACAGCAAATGGGTTGTAAAGGGCATCTCCATTGCCCGTCTTTTTTCTTTCTCTTGTAGGCCATCTTTGGCAGCCAGGCACTCTCTAACTCCAGTTTGTGGACAATAAATAATGGTGCAGCTTGCAGAATTTCAAGTGCTACAGCTGGTGGCCAGAAGCCAACCACTCTGCCACAAAAAGTGGTGCCACCTCCAAGTTCTTCCTCCTCGCTGGTCCCCAAGCCCCCAGCCAATCACAAACAAGTCCTCAGAAAGACGACATCCCAGAGGGCCTCCAAGTAAGTTTTCCTTAATCTTCTGTTCAGTTTCTTCTGAGTTGTATCAATTCTGTGCTAAGAGTACTCTTTATTTAGGAGGCCTTCAAAATCCTTTGTACTGAAATGTTGAAGACAGGAACCCCTGCTGGGGACTAAAAGTTAACTATGGTTCTCAGCCTGGGCTGTAAGTCAGAATCACCTGGGGAGCCAGTGAACCCTGCCAAGGTCGGGTTTATAATTTCATATAAAATTCAGTACTCCTCCCCCCCCCCACCAACCCTTGTTTGTTGTTTACTCCTAGGTGTTTGAATGTGAAAACACTGGAATTGGATTTCATGGGGGCAGGGGTGGGAGTTAACTTCATTGACATTAGTCAGCAGGCTCTCTAGAGCAACTTATTTCTAATACCTTTTGTAGTATGCCCATTTTACCTCAAAAAGGCATTTCCATGCCTGAATCAAATTTTTTCACATTCCTTCCTTCACTCTATTTCCAGTCATATTTTAGCTAACGAACCAGAAATAGACTAATAAAGAGTAGTAGTTCTGACAGCCCTTCTCCATTTAAAATTGGGGAACTTTTCAAAGATGCCTGTAAGAAGCAGGCATTCCCTGGTGGATAAACGCCTAGAGGGGGTTTGTGTATTTCTCTTGCTCTCATTAAGGCTCTCCATTCATTTGTCCTTCGCAAAATCAATTTTAGTTGTAAGAACGAATCCTAGGACATAGAAAATGCAGTTCCTCTTTTTTCCGCCTTGGACAGTGAATCAAATTCTGGATTTGGATGGAAACCAATCCCTCGTGGCTGTTTTAATTATACTGCTGCCATTATTCATTTATCCAACAGATATTTACTCGGTGCCTACTAGGTGCCAAGTGCCGTTGTAGGAATAAATGGCATTGTAATGACTTTACAGAACTCTCTGGAGCAGTAGAGAAGGGTAGTCGGAAGGGGGCAGGTTGTGGTCGAAGGCCAAGAGCACAATAAGAAGGAAGCTGTATGGCTCCTCACCCTGGCAGGAGTAGAGGTGAGTCCTTAAGGGTGCAGCCTCTGGAGCCAGACTGCCTGTGTTAACACCCTCACTCCACAATTTACTAACTGGAGACCTTTGGCAAGTTGCAAGGTCCTTAATCTGTTAGCCTCACTTTCCACGGTTCTGAAGTGGAGATAATGAAGAGTATCTTCTTCATAGGACATTGCTAACTCTTAGCAGAGTTAATACACGTAAAGTACACAGAACAAGACCTAGCCCACAGAAGAACTCAGTGAGCCTTAGTTGCCATCATAAGCATTCCAAAACCATGCTCCCTTTCACAGGTTCGAGAAGCCCACAGTTAGGTAGGAAAATCCGTGAGTCAGATATGAATGTTGAATTTGCTGGTGAGCTCCCTGTTTGTGGCTCCTCTGAGTATTGCCAGCAGCCTGAGATGGCCCACGATGGCCTGTGTGGCTGGCTGGTCTGCCCCTGGGCAGGGAAGAGGGGGGAGCGGGAGGTGGGCTCTGTCAGCAGGCAGCAGCCTGGACATTTGAAGATGCCATCCACTGCCCTGAACTCATTGCTGGCAAGAGAACTCTTCAGCCTTTAGAGATGGAATTGCAGCTCTATGGACAAACTTTGCTGCATTTTTGTGGTTTCTTCTCTCTGACAGGCAGGAGTGTGGGAAAACCGGAAACAGCTCAGCACCAAAAATGCACAGAAGGGGGGAAAAAAGCAAGATTTCTTCAGAATTTAAGAAATATAATCCAAGTATCAAAAGGCATGCTGTAAGGCGTTGTTCCAGGAAATAGTTTCCAATTTGCCTTTAAAATTCTAGCACAAGTCTCTGAAGCTAAATAAGTTAGTACTAATGGAGACCTTAACATTTCTCTCACTTACGTGTAAAATGCACAGTGTTGTGAGGGCCCCACTGTTTTTAATATTCTTCGGTCTTTTAGGAAAAGGAATAACATCGTTCTTATCTGACTCGACTCAATGAAAAGTTCCCTCTAAAAAGTATTTGGATAAAGGTTTTTTAAAAATCACCTTTTTATTTTATAGTAATTTCAGATTTACAGAAAGGTTGTAAAGACTGTACACATGAAAACAAGAACACCCAGTTCTCCCCATTGTTAACATCCTGTATGACCATGGTACATTTGAAGAAGGTGCCGTACTGAAAAACTGTCATTGGTACATTATTATGAACTATAAACTCCATACTTTATTTGGATTGATGAAGTTATTTTTAATCTAGAGAAAACTTTCATGGCCCCTGAAATTAGGATCCTTGAGTATGAGTCGATAATATTCTTATTGTTCTAAAGTAATTCATGTTCCTAGCCAGCCTAGCAAGTTACTTAACATTTATGTGACTTCATTTCCTATTTAAAATAGGGATAATAATAGTACCTGCCTCATGGGGTTATTAAGAGAAATAGATGAATTAACGTCAAGCACAAATACGGTGCCTGGTACATAATATATGCTGAATAGGTGTTCGGCATTATACTGTATCATACTTAGGTTAATTACTAGGGTGGCATTTCAAGAAATTTTCATGTAACTTTTTACTTTCTTCCTGCAAGATACATTGCTTCATTTGCTGGGAGCTCATTTCGGCCTTTATTCTGGCTCAGTTCAGATTAATCAGGAACCCTCAGTTATGAGTGGTGATACTGAGTCACACTCAGGAATGCCCTAGTTGCCCCAAGAGACACAACTAATGAGAAGTTGTAATGAGCTATTGACCGTGCCAGGCCCTGTGTTTTTGGGTTGAACTTCAAACTTCTCCTAGCACAGAAGTTGGCATTGGACAAATATAGAAGCAATTTCCAAGAGCATCAAAGTTTCCACATCCTAGAGGGTTGAGTTTACAGAACAATAGAACATAAAAGATGGAATGTCGTTTGGATGTTGATGCAAAGGGAGTTGAGAATCAGAGCAGTGGGGTCCTATTTCTTTATGATAATATTCAAGTGACTTTCCCTCTAAAGGTTTCAGTTTCCCATCTGTAAAACAAAACCACTGTCCCCACTGAGTAATTAACCAAAATAACTTGTTTTCTGTCTGTTCCATTGAAAACTTTTTATGAGCACATTCGTTTTTTAATCCTGTTGCTTTACAGCCATTTCTTCATCCCCACTTGGCCCAGAAAGTCTTTGTTGTAGTTCTCAGATTCATATACTTTTATTTCCTTTAGCTAAATCTCCTTGGTCAGTTCTGTGAAGAGAACGATTTAAACTTTTTTTCCCCTTTCCATAGTGCCAAGAGCCTTGCTTGATTTTCCTCTCTAGTGTTTGCAGCACGTCATAATTTAGTACCCACTTCAGATCCTCCTTTTACAACTATTTGTGGTATTTCTCCCAAACAGCTGAACCAAGAGGGATGACAGGCTAGGAGCAACTACACGCCTATGAACTGTGTCTTCCTTGTAAATGACCTTTTTCTCAGAGCCAGAATCGTACTCTCCAGGAAATATAGAGAAAGAAACCTGAGGAGATTCAAGTTTGCCAGGGACATGGGCAAAACTCATGGACTAGCCATGACTGGGAAGGGCAGAGTCAAAGCTGTGGTACCTGGGGCTTCTCTGAAGAAAGAAAACTGCGAAAAAAAACCCAGACTTAGCTAAAGTGCTTTTCTTTAAATAGCTGGGATTAAATGCCCAAGTTGTAGGATATTCTGCATCAGGGTGACCTCAGTGGAAATTGAAGGTAACTTCTGTGTCAGCACCCAGGACAGTGGTGTTTGTTAATGGCTGCTGGGCATCGGGAAGGGAAGGAGGGTGGCCAGGAGCCCAGCAACATGGGGAGACTAGTACCAGTTCATGGGACCTGAATATGTATTGATATGAGCAATATGATGAAAGATGCAAAGATGCTCAGAGATTAAGGTCAGAGAGATATAAAAATGAGGATCAGGTTTAAAAAAATATGCTCTATCTTTTTAACATATGAGTCATTAACTAATGTGAGGCAAAGTGATCAAGAGTTCTAACAGTCCAAAAGTAGGTTCTTGATGTGAGGATCCAAGGAGTCATATTGTAGCCAACCATCTTCTGTCAGTCTTTCAGCCTTTTTTATTATGTGTAGTTTCAAGAAATACGATCAAATCTGTGGCATATCCATCCTTAAATACAGGATTCTCTAAATTATGTATTTCCAAAATATATAATGCTAGACTTTTAGTGCTGAAAGATAAAAGACTGCAGGCATAGTGAAAGGCTGTGAGTGGAGCAAGGTCCACAGGTGGTCAGTGGCAGAGCCAAAGCCGAATCTGGGTCACCTACTGTGCTAACCCCAGACTCTTCCCAATAGACCACTGATTTCAAAGGCCCCCCACCAACCTGTTCAGATCCATTCTGTACAGCAAATGACAGGTTAATCATCCTAAAATACTGCCTCAGGGAAAATGCAATGTAAGCACTTAAGAGCACGCTCCCTTCTCTTTCCACACCAGTTTTACTACTTAAGTGGCCACTGAAATACTCAAAAGGGGGAAGAATTATTGTCACTCTCCTACTGAAGTGTTGGGAGAACTTCTGTTAGATGTAGCACAAGAAGGATTGAATTGAACAATACTGAAGGCTTTTATATACTTCCTTCCTGTGAGAGTGAAGTCTAGGAAATGACTGGGAGACCTGGAATATACCAGACAACACCCTGTCACTCTAAGGGGAAGGTCCTGGAAGTACAAAGAAAGGGGGTGGGGGGAGCTAGTCAAGGGGTCTGCCACTTAGACTCTTTCCTCTATCAGCCCTTAGCATTTGGACCTCAGTGGTGGCGTTAGGAGATCTTAGGGTTTTGCTTTTGGCATGGATGATGACATCGGTCAGAGAACTGGGTGCTAGTAATCACACCGAACCAGAAGTTGCTGCTGGCATGTGTATGGTCCAGTGAGGAGAGGAAGTACATGAGAGTCATGGAATGATGGGTCTTCCTTTGGTGATTCATACTTGGGTAATTTAAATTAAAATCTTACTTCTCATCCCTGCCACTGGGATGTAAAAACAGTTGTTAAAATGGTAATATAACTGGGGCACTTG